ACGCCCCTATCAATCGCGCTGCTTCTTGTGACAAGCCTTTTCCTCATGGCAATAAAGCTTGTAGTTGCCACACTGAACACCCGAAGGTGCCCCCTCCACCATAGGAGAGGGCTGAGACGGAGGTAGTTAGACCTATGGAGGCGTGGCTTCCAGGATAGCGGGCTATGGTGGAACACAAATCACACCCCCAGCTCAAAGACGTGTCTCTTCGGCTCACAGCTTAGGCATCACATCTAAGAGCGATGGGCGCAGACGACGAGTCAGTAGCTACACCCGAACAGTCTCGAACTCAGGGCGAAGCCAAGAGAGAAACTTGAGGAGGCAAAGAGTGTCTTGCTAGTCTCAGTGATGCTCACAACACTAGAAAGTACCACCACCATAGAACTCAGTGCCCAAACTATCCAGGCGATGCCAGACAATTGTTATTTGATGGTGGAAGTCCTCAACTGTAAAGTCAAGCTGATGAAGTGATTAAGCCTCCTCAACAACAACAAGGTACATCACCTCGTTACGGATCTAATAACTACGACAAAGGTGATCCCACATGAGGTGTGAGTGGCAAGACCTCTGAGGGATCGTGTGAGATTGACCTCCATGCTCACAAGTAAGATAGCCTTGGCAGATTTCTCCTCATGTAGCCAAGTCTCATAGACACCAAGATCAGATTGGTAGCTCTCCATCTGAGCCTCAAATGCCTCAAGCAGTCTTGGCATCATCATTAACATCTAGCAGGTACGTGGGCAGCTTGGGGAGAGCAAGACATGGAGGACGGATCCACTCCCCCATAAGGTAGCCCCACAACAGCTGTCCATCCATGTGGACTTCCATAAGGAAAACAAAGTCGCCCCAATTGGTGCCATTGAAGATGACGTGGCACTGAGGGACAGGAACAGCACCAGGGCGCTCGGGGGATGCCATGGAAGGAGGCAGGTAGCTGCTGTCTTTTTTTGGGAGAAGAAGAAGGCAAATATGCAAAGAGAGAAGCTCGCCTAGAGCCACACTCACAAAGAGGCACTGGCAAACACCAAGCGAGGGAGGGCCACGATAGGAGGAGTGGCGCATGGATGGGGCGGGACACGCATCCAGTGCAGGAGCCACACAGGGGACGGTTGGGGTGGCGTGTGCATATGATGCGGGACCCACGTGGGCGAGGGTCATGGACGGCGCGCGCAACCCATGCGGCACCCATGCGGGCGGACAGGCTTTGGTCAATCATAAACCATCAATATAACTTGTATTCATCCTTAAAATCAATCACCAACATAGGTATAGTGATTTATACTAAGTATTTACATGAGTTTTGGTGAATTTATAAATGCAGGGGAATTTTCTGAGAAAACGGGACAATTGGGCCACATTATGTCAACAAAACTAGATCCAATCGTCATGGAACCAACTCTACTGGGCCCTAAACATCATTACATGATGAAAGAACAAAACCTAGCTGACAGGGGGATTAGTGGAGTTGGCCGACCCTGGTGGATACCACCTATCAGCCCATGTTTGCTCCACCGACTTTTGGGATGAATCAATGCCATTAATTCAAGTCGGTTTGTGCGGAAGGACAAGATTAAGGCGTGCCGCGGATCGATGACGTGACTATTGCTTGCCTCCTACTCAATCCCCCCTATAAAAGTCCCCCTAGACACCCTTCTGGAGGCCATCATCTTGAATTCTGAGTCATTCATAGATCCAATTCAATAGAGAAGAGTAGAACTCCAGTTATCCATAGTTCTAGTATAGTTTGGCTACAGTAAGGTTCAAGAAGACTTGTGCTACCATCCTAGGTTCTGGATTCATCTCTAGAAGACTGGGTTTAACTTTTGTATCCTTTTATTATCTTGTTATGACTTTGTTCTTATTCCTCATTATGTTTCTCTTTATCATGTTCTTAGTTTACTATGTGCTTATGCATGCTATAGTTGTAGTTATCTTTCAGTTTATACATAAGATCATAGAGCGCTCAATTCATTACTCGGGTGGGTTGAGTAGCCATATTCTGTGTAACCGTGGTGCTTATACATTGTTTTCCTGTGGATGTACCCTGCATTCCGGGTGTGGTAAATCTATTTGCATGATAGCCTTGTAGATCCTCTGTATTCCATACCCCGTTTGTAGGACTAGCAAGACCTGTGTCATGACGGAGAGGTATATGACTATATACTTCTTCTTAGAGATGTCCCTTATGTGTAGATGGAGAGTTAATTATTGTTGTAGAATGTATATGTTTTAACTTGTGATTAGAACTAACTTAGAAATCTTACTTTCTTTGATTATGACTTAGTTTAGCTATACTACATTTATGAGTATCTATCTCTTTCTCTGAATTGTTATGCACTTATCATATGAATATTCTTTGACTTAATGCTGTTTAGAGCAAGTGTTTAGTAATGTTATTATCATAAGTACAAGTTTATCAATCTCTTCTATGCCATCGTTCCTCCTAGTGGTAAAATATAAATAATGATACCTAGAATACTCTCGGTGAAGTGCTACAATGTTATATCTGTGTGCTTGCAGAATTCTTATTTTCTTAATCACACTATTATATACCAACAAGCATTCCTAGTGTCATTGCTGGGAATTACAATTCTAGTAGCGATGCTATGAAATGTCAACAAGCATTTCTGGCGCCGTTGCTGGGGAGGACAAAGGCAATATAAGAATTGATTAAACTTTACTTATTGATGATATCATAACTATGCACCTTTGCTTTTAGTAGGCTTACCCTTGTCTTTCTTTGTTTACATCTTATACAGGGTATTGCAATATTGATTTTGACTCATCAACAATTCCTATTGAAGATCATTGAAGAATCAAATAAATCAAAAGACAGCTCGACACCAATTTCTGAAGTTATGGCTGACAAGACTCGCCGTTAATTCTCTGCTCTAAGTGTTGAAAATATTCACACTGGACCGACACTCGAAATCGGAGAAGATGCTTCATTCAAACTCAAGCCATCTCTCCTTAATATGGTGCAAGCTAATCCATTCAGTGGAAAGGCACATGAAGATGCTAGTACTCATCTTCAGAACTTTCTGGTGATTGGTAGTACAATTGTCATCAAAGACGTTGATCAAGATATCATACTCCTTCGTCGTTTTCCATTCTCTCTTTTGGGAAAAGTGAAGCCACTACAGGAAGACCGAGCATCAGTGATAAAATGTGGTGGCGAAATCTTAATTTGTCACTGATTCCCATGTTATTAGTGACCAAACTAATTTTCATCACTATTGCATCGATTATTAGTGGCAAACTACTATATCGCCATAGGATGCACCTTCAGTGGCGAATTTAGTGATGAAACATTAATTTGTCACTAATAAATAGGTTAATTGTGACTAAATATTTATTTCCTCACAGTTTTGCCATCTACCGGTGACAAAATATTATATCACCACACGGTTCAAGGTCAGTGAGAAAATGTTGTGGCAAAATTGTATTTTGCCACTATTTACCATCTTAATTGTGACTAAACAATTTCCCCCCACTATTAGTACGTTAATCTGTGACAAAATTTTGCTTCGCCACATGGTAGCTGATGACTGAGAAATTTTTGTGGCAAAATATTCTTTTGTCACTTGTTACCAAGTTAATTGTGAGAAAATAAATTTTCTTGTTATATAATATTTATATTAGTGATAAAAACATGTGTTCCGTATGATAAATAATTAGTGGCAAATATTGTATTATCATGGGTCCCACTTGTCAGTCAAACTCCACCTTATCTTCTTTTTTTTTGAAACAATATCTTCTTCCGTTTTCTGCAGCTGCAATTACTGGACGGAGCATCTCCGGCCGCCCCCAAGCTTAGAGCTCCGCCAAGCGTCGACGAGCTCGCCCATAGTCGCCGGCCGTCGATGCCCTTGCCCATGGCTGCACCGAAGTTCGCACGTGCAGAGCTTAGCAAGCTCTCCCACGGCCGCAGCCGCCTATCTCGATGAGTGTCTCCGGCCGCCCCCAGCTCGATGCTTCTGCTCCGCGCCGACGAGCTCGCCCATGGTCTCCGGCCATCCCCGCTCCCACCTGGATCCACTGAATCTCGCCTCGCACTTGACGAGCTCGCCCACGATCGCCGCCACCAATCTCGACGAGCTCGCAAAAGGTTGGATTTGCTGCGTGCCGCTTGCTCGCGCCGTACTGTGAGCCGGGTACGGTCATCTTGCGGGCGTCAACACGGGCAGGGATGCGGGCAGCCCGCTCAGGCGTGTGGCGGGCGGCCGCAGTTTGGCAGGCGGTCGTAGCTCGGGCATGTCCGTAGTGGAGCACTGGAGCTTCAGGGCCGCCTGTGCAGCTAGCGGCTCGTGTGGCCAGGGGCCTAACATGGCGGCTCATCCGAGGTCATAGGATTGGATAGTAAGCACTGTTGCTCTCCAGTTTAGATTATTTGATCAATTCACCATATTTGCCTATTCGATTCTCTGGAGTTTGAATGTAGGCTAGACGCTCAATTGCCAAATGCCTTAGTGATGTTTCAGTGGCATTGATTGGGCACTTGAACCTTGGTCATTGCATACGGGAAATGCCTTAGTTATGTTTAGTTACATAATACTAGTATATTATGTTGTAATTCTGTAATTGAAGTAGAAATTAGACCTCTATTATCTTAGGTTTTAGTGACTTTATGTACCAGTTAATTTGGTTGTGGAAACAAAAAGACACAAGTTTGTCTTGTAGGGATCCAGAACGGAAGTAAAATTAGTGAGAACGAACAAAAGCAAGCGCAAATCCGGATGGCCATAGTAATACGTGAATTGACAATTTGTGGATGAATAGCTTGTTTATAATGAATATATATCATATTACCAGGGCTTGGAAAACTGATAAGTATTAGGAAATAAAACATAGCTGAAAATGCCAGAGTGACCATGATATCCTAAATGCTTATTTGTTTGACACTACTGTGTAGTGTTTGTAAAGCAAGTGACCAAGGAGATGAAGCTGCATGTCATATATATATTCCCTTTAGAAATTTCAGCTTGATTATCAGTTATTTGCTAGTCGTTATCTATTTCTTCTTCCGATTCGCTGTCTTCGTCATCTGAATCCATGTACTCACCACCTTCGCTGTCATCACTTTCAAATTCTTGTTGCTCATCTTCATCCTGAACGTCACCCTCGTAATGGAGTATCGGATTACCTTCCACAGCCACAGGCATACCTTTAGCTTCCGCTTCAACTTGAGGTGTGTCCAATATACTTGTGTCATCATCTTCTATTGTATTTGGATTCGGCACAGTTACTACTTCATTTTCTTGGCAAGCTTCAGGACTGGATTTACTTGATTTAGTAGTGGCATCTTCTTCATCAGTGGGAGGAGTGTCAAAATAATCACGAGGTTTAGTCTTTACCACGACATACCATTTTGGATCTTGAGTATCATTCACATAATATACTTGCTCTGCTTGCGAAGCCAAAACATATGGCTCATATGTTGACAGCCTGCGAGTAGTATTTATCATTATGAACCCATACTTATCTTCTTTAACTCCCCTTGTTGTATGTACATCCCACCATTCACATTTAAAAAGAACAACCTTATGAGTCCCATATAAAAGCTCCACAATATCTGTCAAGACACCAAAGTAATCTTTGTTTCCAGTTCCTTCATCGCCCTTGACAAATACTCCACTGTTTGTGCTTGAAATAGGGCATCTCTGTCCCTTGTGTTAAATCTCCATCCATTGACCATATAACTTGAGAAATGTGTCACTCTAGTATCGGGTCCTCTTGCTAGATCAAACAATTCATCAGAAACAGAAGGATCTCCTTTGGAATACATAGTTGATATCTACATGAAGCACAGTAGTTAATTAAGCTACCCTAAAGAAATAATGTAATAAATACATCCTTATACTTACATGGTTCGTGAACCACTGAAAGAACTCTTTCTCATGCCGCTTGTCTACATTTTTGGTGCTCTGTGTCCTTAAATATTCCTTGTGAATGCTGTGACATAGGAGAATAGATGTTACAAAATTGGAGGTCCACAGTTCAATGAACATCTTAGGAGTGGCTTACCCTGTATATGGAGAAGCCTCTTCACAGTTCTTTAGAACGTAGGCTTGTGCTTTGTTCAATTCATTCATCTCCATCTCACAATATCTATTCCCAATAAGCCGTCTTCCAATTTTGGCAAAAATCTGGAGCTGTGTGTTGCTATTGTTATCACCACTATCATCATTACCCCACTTTAGGATTTGACATTTTCAACTTTGCCTTTTGCTTTTGTCTGGAATCTAGAGAAGAGTGAAATTTTGAATTTTGGAAGAAGGGGAGAGAGGGGGGTCGGCCGACCACCCCTTGGTGGCTCCAAGCCACCACCCTTTCCCCACTTCCTTTGTCTATAAAAGACCATGCAAGGGATGTCTCATTTCCTCATCCTCTCATTCTCTCATTTGCTCAAGTCTCTCAAGTTTCCCACTCTTTCAAGCTCTTGTGAAAGAAAGTTTATCTCAAAGTTTAGTTCTAGTTAGCCACAAATTAAGAAAACCCAAAAATATTTTCCTTTTAGATTGTCTTGTTCATCAAGAAGGTTTGCTTTTGCATGGATTATTAGCTCAGGTGACTAACGCTAACATTAATCTTTTGTTGCTCGAGCTATGTTATTGTGTTTTCTCTCATTTTCCAGGATAAAAAAAAACCATTCAGAGGGGTGACCAAGAAAGTAAAGAAGGTGATGAGAGGGAGCTCATCCCGACGCTCCCACCACTCTCATGAGGATCATCACTCTAGATCAACCAAGATAATGCCAAGTGATGGAGAAAGCTATGGAGGTCAATACTATGGCACACACGAGCAAATGCCGCCAAGTAGTGACAACTACTTTGGTGAACATGAGCAAGTACCGCCTAGTGATGACATGGAAGTAGAAGAAGCTACTCCCACAAGAGTGCAAAATCCTGAGACGGGATTGTGGTTCACGCCGCAAGAATATCATTTCTTCACCAAGCTTCAAGAGCATATCTTCGAGCATACCAAGGTATTTGAACCATCACTATTCATCAAAGCAGGTATGGATTCAGAATTTGATTCTATCTTTAATGCTATTGGATGGAATACCTTTTGGGGTGTCTGATGAGGACATGACACCCATGCATATGACCATGTTTGGCATATGGTATGGAGGTGTAGGAGGCCAGCAAGGGTGTCCAAGTCAACAATGTCACACCTAATTTTAAGGATAAAATTGAATGCACTAAACTCATGTGTGCCTAGGGATCAGTCACACACATAAGCTGACAAATTATAAAAAGTATCATCACAGTGTATCTTACATCACGATAAATAACATAACATAGTCTTATACAACACAGTGGAAAATAAAAAGATAACTCTCTCGTGGAAGCTCCAACACAAGGACGGTCAACTGGTTGACCACAAGCCTAATAGTCCTCAGGAAACTCCTCATACTCGTTGACATCTGTTACCCATCTGGGATTTTTCAACGATCCACATATGGTTGGAAAGCTAATTTGATAAGGAAGCCAATCCAAGTCATCGCACGTCAAAAGCCCTCCAGAATCAACGGGAATCGTCGAAACAAGTCAGCATCTAGAATCTGCCAGGGTGCTGCAACACCGTCTTTTGGTCCGTTGGACCGTGTATTGTGTTTGGGCCTATTAGGGGGCGCATCTAGGGTAAGCGACGACCCTAAGACCTTTATAATCATAGGCCGCCACCATCATTAGGTTTTAGGTTTTGCTTAGATTAATCTGTCAAGAACAGTTTCATCGGTTTGTGAGACTCCAACATCGAGAGATTAATCATTCATCTGCAATTTGGTTGTGTTCTTTCTTGTTCTTGCTTGTGTTCTTCATTGCGCAGGCAGGGATTAGACTTCTTGGCGAGGTCAACCAGATCCATGTCTCGGTTGATAACCAGAGGAATTGTGGTGCTAAGATTGCAGGGTTGGATCTTTCGATCTGAAGCCGGATCGGTGTATCATTCTCCGCCACAACGATAGTTACCTCTACCTACCGGAAGATCGGGATCCTCGTCCCCATTAAGTGGCAATCAGAGCTTTAGGTATTATCGTCAGGTTTATCATTACCCTAGTTTTGTTTTGTCTTGTCTTTGTCCTATAAATCCCGAAAATTGCCCCACAAAAATATTTGTGTTAATCTTTGTTTTCTCCCTAGCCTATCAACAGTTGTGCCGTTGCAATATTTTAATTTCAGTTTGCTTTATTGAACGGTCGCCCCTCGCGTGTCTCGTGTTGGTTGCGTCTAGATTTTGTTATGTGATTTTGGTCTTTCTTTGTCAAGCCCCACCGTATTGGTTCTGTTTGCTGAAAAGAGATAGAAGAAGACGATCTATGATTCTGGTGCACTGCAATTTTGGTTAGTCGCATTGAAGGAAAGTGCAAATTGTACGTGCTACCTTGCCATAATTTACACATGACAAGCAAGGCAAGAGATTTAGTTTTATATCTATTATTTTTTAATTGCCTTATTCGTAGGATATCCTTTTTGGCCGTGTCCTACTACGTGGATATGCCTTTTATCTCGGCCAATAACCTACCTTGATAGCTACGTATCTAAGCTGGTTGGTTTATTCTATTGCCAGCTTGAAGTGCTTGTTGTGCATACGGCATCTATATTTACTCTCCTACCTTAGTTGGATTACATATTTTTATATCAAATCAGGAGACATATCTTGCTGTCCAAAACTTTCTACACGCAGAGTTTCAGCCAATAGCCACAACTTCATTACAACTTGTGCTCTGTTTTGGCTGACAGCTTTAAGTTGTGTCATATTGTGATATTTACTCCTGCAGCACTTCTGATTAAAAAAAGGCAAAGGGGTGTAAAAACCAACACCAAACAAAAAAAGAACAAAAAAAGAGAAAGGAAAGGAAAAGGCAAAGAGGTGCAAAAAAGAAGAAGGAAAGAGCCGACCAAAAAAAAGAGATAAAAAAAATCAAAAGTGCTTGCATTTTTAAGTCCTCGTGCTAAGCTGTGTTGTTGCTTGCTTGAACTAGGTCCAGGACAAGTTTAGACCGGCGACATAGACTAGCTTGGGACTACTTTTCAATCTTGCAATTTCTGAATTAAATTATTGCTATTCCTTGCTACCACATTTTAAGCCTCCCAAGCTCCACATATATACTTCAGATCAGTATAGAAAAAGACCCTTGCAATCTCGGTGCCACTGCCTCACAGATATCACGAACCAGCCACCGGTTGTACCGCCCACTGCTTGCGTTGGTAAGAACTTTGTAAGAGCTTGGTAAGACGCTTCCACTTGCTATGAAAAGTGACACCACTGCAACCACGTAGTCATGTGATAGTGATAATACTTTTGTGTTGTCTTTTGCTGTCTTCTAACAATGATAGGTTATTCGTATCCACCGACTTATGATGGTATAGGTGCTGATGAGTACATGGAGTGGGAAATTGCTATAGATAACATATTTGCTACTCGCTTTATGTGTCCAAGGAGAAAGGTAAAAAATACAGCTAGTGTTTTACGATATTCTGCTTTATCTTGGTGGTAGTCTTTAGATCCTTCTAATAAACCTCAAACTTGGAATAATATGAAACTCCTTATGCGAGAAATCTTTGTTAATCCACCTCCTGTTTTGACTTCATATGCTGAGGTGCACCATTTAGAGGAAGAGTATGTTGTTATTCCTCTTGCTATGACTAACCTTCTGCAGGATAATGTCCATAAGCGAGAGGATGATATGGAAGAAAATGAGGAGCTCACAACCTCATATGCAAATTCAGAACCATCACTTCACAATGCACCTATTACTCATATTGAGAACACAGGTAATGCCCATGGTGCTACACTCACGGAAGGTGAAAATTATTTTAATGTACTAAATTATTCCACAAACCTTGCTATCATAGAGCAATTGTTAGTGGAACCCTCTCTTGATTTATCTCTGTCCCATGATAATTTGCTTGAAGTTCCTTGTGATAAAAATGAATTGGTTGATGATGCTTCAGTTTTACATGTTTTGGAACTAGACACTTGTGCTGAAAATAAACATGTTATTCATATTGCTACTAAAACTGATGAGTTCAAACTGTTGTCTTGTTTACATACTTTGGGTTACATTGAATTTGATGTTTTGTGTAACCTAGATTGTTTGGAGGAGAGCCTTTTTAAATATGCTGATTTGCCTTGGTTTTCTAAACACACATATCATGTTATTGGCAAATATAACAACAAAGGATAATATATGATACATCGAGTATATGTTCGTAGTAATATGAATTCTCCTTTTGTTGTACAAGATTATGATCGTTTAGAGGGCAGCCATAATAATACAAACATTTTCTCATGTTCCTCAAAGAAACAAGTTCACTTCTAAGAAGGGGAGCATTGCTAGCTGCTACCTATGTCTGCTAGACCATCTATTCCTGCATTTTCTTTGGTTAGTTCTAATCTTTTGCAGGATAGTGTTGACATACATCGTGTGCATTCAGCTCATGGAGTCTACATACTTGCTGAAATTTTTATGCGAGATGACATGCTAGAAAGTTGGAAACATGGTCACGTTTCTTCTCACGATTATTTTAGTTCCCTTTGTCTTCGCAACCCCGTTCTCTTTTGTGTTGTGCAGGATCAGTTTCAAGCATAATCGACGCCGAGGATGGCTTTTTGTCAAGAAGGGGAGGATGATGAGGACATGACACCCTTGCATATGACTATGTTTGGTGCATGATATGGAGGGGTAGGAGGCCAGCAAGGGTGTCCAAGTCAAGAAGGAGGCCTGAGGCTAATTCGGTTCGAGTCCCCGAGGTGGAGGCCCAAATCAACTCAAGTTCGAGCCCGTCTCGGACTCCAGGACTAGTCTGCCTTAAACTGGTCACCCAGGACGCATTCGGACTCTGTTTTTGATGATCCACATATGGTTGGAAAACTAATTTGCTAAGTAAGCCAATCCAAGTGGTCTCACATCAAAAGCCCTTCAGAATCAATGGGAATCGTCGAAACAAGTCAGCGTCCAGAATCTGCCAGGGTGCTGCGACACCGTCTTTTGGTCCGTTGGACCGTGTATTGTGTTTGGGCCCATTAGGGGTGTGTACAGGGTAGGCAATGACCCTAATACCTTTATAATCATACGCCGCCTCCATCATTA